CCAGATAATACGATCCCAGATGAATAACAGCAAATATGTTGCAGTACTTGTATTTGCTAATCATTTTTTCATTATTCAACACAAGAAACAGTCTATATTAGGTAAATAAATTAAAAAGCATCAGAAAATAAATCCAAAAGGATCAGAAAACCCAGAACAACAGGTTCCATATATTTTAAGAGATTTTTGCTTATAGCTGATAGCCTCCTTTGGTGACTCTTCTCATACTGAGTAGTAAGTAGTGAGTAGTCCTATTGATTTGGGCCATAAAATACTACCTTAATGTGCGTAAGGATGGCAGAACCAATTCAGTGTTGCCAAATCTCACAATTGTATTGTGAGTCTCACACTATTTGACATTTTTCTTAAAGCCCCAGCACTGGAGACCAGAGGTTTTGTGAGAATCTCAGGTTTTGCGTTTTCTTTTTTCCCCATTGTTTTAGTCCTTGTGGCTAAGAAGGAAAGCTGGAAAATGTGACCTCAGTGCACAGCAAAACAGAAGGCAAATAAAAAAAAACCCCAAATGTATTATTTCTAAAAAAAAAAAAAAACCTCATGATTTTTGGGGGTCTGCCTCAGGATTTTTGAAAGCTCAAGGCAGCAGTATTGAAATCAGGCCTTTAATTTGAAAACCCTTCACTCAGAGCAGGAGGGAAAATGGATTCTTCCTTGTCACAAGTTATACAGCTTTAAAATAGGTACATGGTTAACAACAATGCTTTCTAAAAATAATTATATCACAGGGACGGTGGCAAATTAATCTGTCAAACACTGTACAAATAACACAGAGATGATATATAAAATTGCTTTTATACAAATTAATAAAATAGCCAGTTTTATTTACAATTCCATTTCCCATTCTGTTGCATTGCAAAGTGTATAAAATAAGCACATCAAATGCTGTCAAAGGAAACTGCCTTCCCCAGCCTTCTCTTACAGATTTCTAAGGTTGATTTGCATATTTGTACTAATGTGTATGAATAAGTAAGCTTCAGCTATATTTTTAATTGCATTAAAGAAAATTCTATCATATGTGGAATTAAAATGCCCACTTTCTCTTTCCTATGTTATTTTTTGCATCATCCCCATAGCTTGGCTTATCATTTTCCACAGTCAAACACATGAATTTCTTTAATGTACCATTTGGACTTATTTGTGCCTTCTTTTTAAAAATAATTTTCTTCAATGACTACGTGTGTTAGCCACATATGATTAAACTAAAAGCTAGAAATGTGTCTTTGGTGTTCATTTCTACCCGGTTACTAGGGAAGTAAAGGTTACTAAGGGAAGTGGTGTTTTATCACACATTCAGCATTGCACAAAAATAGCCTAAATGTTTGCATTAAGGAAAGGCTCAACAATTTTTTTCTATAAATTTAGTACCAAAGGAGCTATTTTGGATATTGGGAATGTATGTTTTCTGTTCAATACATATATCTTGCAGCTTGTATGACAGTGAAAAATCTTATTTAAAATCCTAAAATGAACAATTTGCTTCAGAGCTTGAAGGCACAGCTAAACATTTCATAACCTAGGCAGTTCTCTAAAGCTGAGCTGCATTTCTGGTGGGGGTGGGAGAGACAGCACATCAGACATCATAAAGACTTTGTCTCTGAGGGGGCTGGGCTGATGTGGCTGCACAGCATGTGAGATCAAAAACCATATGTGCTGCTCTGTTTCAAATGACCTTTTGTCATAACCAGGTTTCTTGCCTGTAATTTTTGTAGTGAATTTAATACTGGTGAAAGTTGCTAGATTGACAGCGCTACAGCCTAAACCCGTCTGTTTATTATCCACAGTATAGCTATAGAAGAGTCAGGAGCATCATAGTAGGTCTGATTCTCCCCTACCTTGCACCTTGTGTGCTCATTTACACTTGTGCTACGTGAATGTAAGATGCTACCATATTTAGAACTCTCTTTTCACACTGTGGGGAATGTTTTGCAGCCACTGTGCACTACTTTGCACTGATATAAATGGCTACACATGGTGTAAAGCAATGGAGAATGAGGCCCAGTATTCTTCAAATCTGACCTGGAGGGATCACCATCAAATACTGGTGACTGTAGGGTGACCAGACAGCAAGTGTGAAAAATTGGGACGGGGGTGGGGGGTAATAGGAGCCTAGATAAGAAAAATACCCCAAAAATCGGGACTGTCCCTATAAAATCGGGACATCTGGTCACCCTAGGTGACTGCATATATTCAGTCAGTGCTTTGCCTCTCTATTGAGGATCCTGACAATAGGACTAATTCACATCAGTTGTGAAGTAATCACCTCCCTACTGGAAACTGGGCTGGAAACTCATCATATACTAACATCCGAAGAAGTGGGCTGTAGCCCACGAAAGCTTATGCTCAAATAAATTTGTTAGTCTCTAAGGTGCCACAAGTACTCCTGTTCTTTTTACAGATACAGACTAACACGGCTGCTACTCTGAAACCTGTCATTATGCCAGGCACTGCATTTAGCCGTATGGAGTGGAAATCCATCATCATATACTGTAGGCCACCAAACAGCCAGCAGATGGTAACACTCTTTGGACATTATTGACTTCTGGTGCACTTGGACCAGTGACCTAGAAGGGAAAGGCTCTATATCCAATTACCATTTGCCTGAGCCATCCTATGTTCACTTACACACACACACACACACACACACACTGCCTGAGCCATCTATTCACTTACACACACACACAGACACATTGAATTATAATTTATCAAAGCTGCAATCAAATAGCTACAGGTCAAGTTCATGAGTCATCAATCTAAATGCATGCCAAAAAAGGTAATGTGAAGCTACTGGCCACAGTACCACAAATACATAATATTGGGCCAGCTCCTCAACTGGTTTAAATCAGCATAGCTCATTGATTTAAATATATATTGGCTATGCCAATTTACACTGAGGAGCTGGTCCTCTGTGTCTAGTGCTCTAATTCTTTTAAAATATATTGCTCCGATATTGCTATGGTTTTCTTTGCAGAGATGAACCAGTGCAAGCAGATGCTCACCACCACTCTAATTGACCACGACTCGCATACATACAACGTAGACTGTAACACTCTTGAGTTTAGTCATATGCTACTTCCTGTGCTGGCTGATTAAGATCAGAAGCTAGGATGTGATTGTCTAAACGATTTTTCAGACTTAATTAACTGGTTTCCTGTACCTTTTCTACAATGCATGAGAAAGAAAATGAAAGCCTAAAAATCTAACACCACAAGCAAAGATAACTGACTTTATTTTCTAATGGACCACCCTAAACATAATGGAATTATCCTGAAGCATTTTTGCCAACAGATTTTCAATGGATTAAATCAGCATTTCACTGAGTCCCAGTTCTTAGAATACGTAGACTTCCTTATTAAACACTTGATCATACAAGATGCTGAATGCCTTCAATTTTCATTGACTTCAGTGGGAGTTAAGGCCACACAGCATCTTACAGGATTGGGCCTTTATTCTGTTCATAAATATTAAGCTAGAGGAATCAAGTTGTGCGCTCATGCTGGTGAGAATTCAGTCAAGAACAGAATTCATCCTGCGAGGTGCTGAGTGCTCCCAGTACCTTTTGAGTACGGACTAGGTGCACTGAGCATCTTGCAGGATTAGGCTCCTGATCTATGTCTTACTCACGGAAAAGGCTCAATGAAATCAATGGGGTTACCCCCAGGGATGAATTTGTCTTCATTGCAGTTCATTCACATGGCACCCCTGGGTACAGCTGATCCTGCATCAAGAAGAAAGTGCAGGACCAAGTCTTACATACACCGAATAAGCTAAGATACTAGTGACCTTCACAGACCATCCCCACAACACCCATATGAAAAAAGTGTCATTTCAGGATGCTGTATGCTTAGCCATGAAATCCTGGAGAAAATGGATGAAATCCTGATGCCCATTGCCTTTAAAATGGGTCCAGAATTTCACCCAATGTCATGTGACAGGGAAGGGAGATAAATGTGTATATATGAATTTTGCGAAGCAGATTATGTGAAATGGCATGCTACTGTCTCCTGGTTTACAAGATTGTTTTATTCCATAATTGATTTTTATTTTTTAAATTAACATGGATTTTATCCCCAAATTATTAATTTAAAATTTTACAAACAAGATTCTAGGTCAGATCATCATACAGTGACTAATAAGAAAGACATTACCCAATGGAGCTCTGAACAGATCCAAACCATATTTAATTCTGCTGAATTTCATTTGCACAGAATACCCTTTATTAAACGATCATTAATAGTTTTACTTTTAGCACAACACAAAGAATGAGTGGTCAACAATAGGCAAAAGAGTCTGGCTACCCTTGTTGCTGTCTTCATGTATTTATTCTAAAATTTTAAGGTTCAGTCTATTATTGTATGGCCTACTAAACTGAATGCAGATTAATTACATATTTGCGGGAAGAAAGTGCAGTTCAAGGGTGAAGATACAGAATGATTTCTATAAAAGGAAATGTTTTAAAAAAAATACAAAAATGCTGATTTATCTCAAGTTTGAAAAATAAATATTAGAACGAAGCATATTTACAGGAAAGCAAACAAAGTTAGCTGTGATGCATATAAATAGGAATGAAAGAAATCTATTTTAAGTGTTGTAGGACTGAAATTGGCAAGAACATATATCAAGAGCCAAAAACATGGTCCTTTTTTTTTTTTAAATAATCTCCAACGGTCTTCTAGCATCCCACATGTTAACACAGGCACTTACGCTTCATCCTGTGATATCACTGTCCAAAAGATAGCACATCAATACCATCCAGGTTTTAAAACATTTTATTTGCATATTAAAAAAATTGTGCATTCCAATAATTAAAATCATTTGAACAAAAAAAAAAATGGCACTCGATTAACTGCATTTTACAGCTCGCAGGACCTTGGTACAGCTTTGCATTTATTCGTGTGTTACTAGTTTACTGTAGTCCCACCCAAGTTCTTCTTTCATCAACATGCAAGCTCTTTCATGCCACCAGGACCAAACCCAGACAGGCAGATGGAAAGGCAGCGCGCCTTCATTCAGTGTCAGTAGTTCTCTCTATTTTTTGATGTGAAAGGGGCAGTACAGTCATTTAAACTTTATCCAACCTCTTTGCATCTTACAAAGTTAAACAGCTAAAAGAAGTAAAATAAGAAGGCAATGCTTGTGGAATGTACAGTGCATAATTTGGAAGGGCAGATTTCATTACGATTCACCCGCTTGCTTCTCCTGTTCAATTGCTGGAAGAGAAAAAAAATAAGAATTTTAAAAATAAAGATGAAGTACTTGACTTTTTTTAAATATAAACTTTACATTTTTATGGAATATAGAAATCAACTGTAGATTTATAAAATTGGTAGAAAATTATCTTAATTGCAAAATGTACTACATGTAACTTTACAGTGGTTCAGATATTTTATATCTATTCAGTAATCATACACATATTTCACATAATGTATATGTATAAAAACTGTCTCTCTGTCTTTATCTTTTCCTTGCCTTTTCCCTCTCCCTGTTAAATTATACATACTTACTTTCTTTTGAAGGCAGTGGATTTTTCTCTTGCGTTTCTGTTTTCTTCAATTTAGTCTTGTCAAATTTCTCAATTTCAGCCATATCTGGTTTGTCGGACATTTTTGCAGATTAATCTGTACGCGGAAAGGAAAGACAGTTAAGACTCCTCCACCTTTTATTCAGAAATGCGTTACTCACTCCTTGATCTCCAGCCAGCAACCCCGCCTCCCGTCTTAAACTCCCTCTTTAAGAGGTACGTAATAGCCTCTTTTTTTTTTGGAATAAGATATATATTCAGCGAAATAAAATTCATCGTGTAATATGTGGGGTGAAATGGTATGTACAAATCTAGCCAAGGCTGATTAAGGAGTTTAAAACAAAATCAATGCAGGAAATACGTTGTTTTATCATCAGATCATTTTTTAAAGTGGAAATGTAATCCATTATCAAAACAATTGCCTATTGTTGAGACTGTTTTCTTCTCATTAAAATCTCTTCAATATTTCCACGTTGTTCTGAAGAGAACAATAGGAGGAAGGTGCCTGGAAGAGGCTATTTATCTTTAAAAAAAGATTTAACGCACACACAGAAATTTAAAAATGTAAAATAATGCCAATGCCAAGCAAGTGGACTATGCTAATCACATTCTCCACCTTGGGGTCTGTCTGTCTGCTCTTTCTTCCCTTAGCACATTTGGATGAAGTCCTGCATTCTTTTCTCCTCACAAAGAACTGCAGCTGCAGTCTGAGAAGCTCAAACCACCGCCCTTGCTCTGTTTGCTGCCTTTCTCCTTCTCAGCAATGCAGCCACAGATACAACGCTGCCTGGATTTAAACAAAGATTTTCTTGTACAGAGGCACACACAAACACTCACACCCTCTTTCAGCCGCTGAAGGTTTAAACAATACAACCTCCCTTTGCTCTCCTCCCTGTATTAGGAGTTTGAGATTTTAGCACACATCTGCTTGTAGTAAATTCCCTTCTAAATAGCAGGGAAGGAAGAAGTAATGCGTAGATCAACAAAATCTCCTGTTGTTGGGTCACAGATACTAAAATATTCAATTAGTGTCGACAAAGATGCCAGCTTTTTTTGTCAAGCCAGAACAAAGGAAATCGAGAGGGCTTCCCCCATTCTTTCCTTAGACTCGCATTTAACATTTTCACTCAATCTGTCCAACTTTAACGACGCCACTAGTCTTAACCACTGGCTTACAATTAAAATCTCTTGGGTGCATTTGAAAGCATCAGGAATATTCCATCCTGAAATTTAGTAACAAAGCAAAGGGTGTTGAAGAAGGACTTGGGTTAAAAAATCCACACTCATCAGCACAGACATGGAGAAATGCAAGCTAATAAAAGGGGAGAGCGAGGGAAAGAAAACCATAGTTGAAATATAAATTGTATCCTCACCACTGATGCTCTGCACGGAAGTAACTCTAGTCTCTGCAGCTGCTGCTCTGGACTGTAGTATAAGCGCTTTCTCTGCATGAGCAGTTATATCCTCACTTCTATGCAAATGAGAGTGATGTCATTTTAGTCCGCTTTAACCCTTTCACTACACTCCCACTTCCTTGCTTCCTTTTTTATGTTGTTATTATTAACTATTATTATTTATTACACCCTGCTAAAAAAGCAAAAGCCAGCAACCAGCTCCCCCATGGAAAGCATTGTTTTTGTAGACAGCTGTCCCTGAAAAGAATGTTAGGGAATTTGTGGGTGTGAGATTCGTACTAATGCCAAACTATCACAAGGAAAGGCCTGTTGTAGCAACTAGGACATGACACGCACCCCCGTACTAGAAAACGGGCATCGTAAATGCGCAGCAAACCAATACAACACGGGGATGCTATCTCTGTGGTCCTAATGTAATGATGGAAGGCGGGAGGGGAGTGAAATGACAATGTGTGTCACTCCATGGTTCCCCTTCATGTCGGTGTGAAAGGATTTTCCCCTTGTATTTTGGTTTGCAGCGATTATTGTCTTCTGGCCCTTGAACACTGTCTGACATCAGGTGGGTTATTGCATTTGGTGCTAAAATCCCAGCTCCGGGGGGAGGGGGGGGGCGGAATCCCATTTTAAAATCACTCTAGTTAGAACAATACCTTTTTAACAGATGATAACTCTGGGCCATATCATGCCACCCATTATTAAGCAGACATCTCAGTTGAAATTAATGGGAAGTTTTGCTTCAAAAATCAATGGCAACAATATGCTGGCTCCAGAAAATAGCATAGCAAAGTGCTTACTGTTTGTAATTGCTGCTTTTCTTTCTTCATTTTTACTTCCTCTTAGTGTGTCTGAAGGCGGGAGGGTCCAGTGATAGCTGTTTTTTTTTACATTTTGCAGAGAAACTGCAGCCATGTTGTGACCATATTGTGCTGCATTTCCAAAACCCTGGTATATTTTTGCTCAAACTTTTTGTGGATTTCTTTTTGTTGAGCAATAGTTTCTTACTGCTCATGTTACTCAAATTTCCTCACTTACAAAACCTCATCTCTATCAGATAGCAGACTCCAGGAACTGCCCCCCTGCTGTCCTTGCGATTGTGCTGCGAGTGAAAGAAAGAAATCATACAGGCAGGCTTTCTCGCAGCTTCAGCAGACAATAGCTCTAAGGAGACCCCGACTTGCCCCTCTCCACCCCTAGCTCCATTCACTACAGCTGGGTTATCACAAACCATGCATCACCTTGTGTGCTTCAAGTTCTGATTCTTTGTGGTTGGAGGGCAGACAGAGGCATGGTATATGGATTTCCACAATACTAGGCCTCAGCTAAGCAAAGCCTGGGACCTCTCCATGCTGTATATTTCAAGCTTCCCTGCACCAAGCATTGCAAACATAAGCAGCACATCTAAAGGAGTAAAATGATCCATTTGTGAGAACACGAGGGTCTAGATGTTTGGGTAATTTTTGGATATGGGGGAGGGGAGGATGGCTGGAATATTGTTTCTGTGTATACAGGATTGGACAATGTGCCAAACTATCCATGCAAAAATACATAGAAGCGAAAAAGTTCAGTTAAATCTCTGAATTTTAACTATCCTGATTCATTGTCTCCTGGAGAATGGGGGAAAGGGAGTTTCACAGTTCACACCAAAGGGGCAAGGTTTGTGGGGTCCTGAATGTGTATGTGGAAATTCATTTAATCTTCGCTGATCCTGGGACATCTATTTGGAGACCCATGCTGCCCGCTGTGTTGCTCCTTGGCCCCACGCCCTGGCAACCTCTGTGTGTGTATGTGTGTTGGAGGGCATTTGAAGCCACAATTCCTAAGCAGCATTAATTTACACTAGTTAATTAATTAGCCTCTTAGAGTTGGTTGGGTAACTCCCACCTTTTCATGCTCTCTGTATGTATATATATATCTCCTCACTATATGTTCCATTCTATGCATCCGATGAAGTGGGCTGTAGCCCACGAAAGCTTATGCTCAAATAAATTAGTCTCTAAGGTGCCACAAGTACTCCTGTTCTTAAATTACACTGGTCATTATGAATAAATCTATGCCAGTTCCTGAGGGGAGCATGTCACACAGAGTGGCTGCTAAATGGCTTTGCCTTCACCTATTACCAGGCAGGCTCCATAAAATCCACAGTCTTAATTTCATAGGGAGAAATCCTGGCCCCATTGGAGTCCCAGCAAAAGTCTCGTAGACTTCACTAGGGCCAGGATTTAACTCATATTGTTCACACAGGAGGCAATCCCATGTATGGGGGCAAAAAGGGTCAAGAAATTGTTTCCATGATCTGGGAAACACACAAGACTGAAGGCCAAAGGAACTGTTTAGAAAAGAAATGGAAAAGAACATACAGTACTAAAGTCTCTTGAGAAATGGTTGGGACATAGATGTTTATTCTAGCTTTTCATAATAAAAGGATCCTGGAATATTTTCTTTATTAAACAGAAAGCAACTTTGCTAATATGTGAGCAAGATTTATAGGATAGCATTATGATTATTTCATTACTTCCAAATTTTGTGAACGTTGAATCTTGTAAATCTGAATAATTAAAATATTCCAATTATTAGCCTATCTTTTTCTACAGGGTATGAAGTCCATTATGGCTCTACAATCTCAGATCTTTGGGCTTTCAAAAGAATCTTTGTAACCACTGAAATGAATGTTGCTAAAGAGTTGAGTGCAAATTTTTCTTGAAAATTCCCTGAGCAGACTGCCTATTTCTTCACTTCTTTGGCTCCAGCAAACACTTATGCACATGCTTATCTGTAAGTATGTGAGTGATCTCATTGTACTCTCATTGACTTCAATGGGAATACTCATGTGCTTAGAGCTAGGCATGTGTGTGAGCGTTTACAGGATTTGGGCCTGTATTTCTGAAAGCAGTTGGCCCAGTGGCAGGTACCTCATCTTTTGTTTCTTAGTTTGGGACAGATGCCCAGCTGGCATAAATCAGAGGAGCTCCATTGATTTCCGTGGTGATTTATACCCACTGAGTATCTAGCCCAAATTTAGATTCAGTTATGGTTCCGAATGCCAGAGCCATGCTAGGGCTCTAGTCTTTCAGGTTCAACTTGCCACCCTCCCTAGTCCCGCCTACTCCCATGCACTCAGGCTGGGATATTTAGAATCTACTCCTATGATAAATATCGAAAGCCTGTTTATTGTAATACACTTATGACCTGATGCTGACATTTTTCTCCCATTGAAATGAATGTGCTTATTGAGTAATGGCAGGAAATAAACTGGAAGTAATTTCTGACTGTAAATGTATCTCTATAGGGCATATTTTATTAGTGATGGGAGTTACAGAATTTGTGTACCTTAGCGCCATACTTTTTAGGTATATTGTGACTGTGAGAAAGGTGCTTGATCATCCAGTACTAATCCATTGCAAAATACTCTAGGGGACAGGAAACTTCAAAGTGCACTTGAAGGTACCAATGCAAAGCTCATAAATAGACCAACCAGGACATAGTCTGTATTGGATAGCTGGCTTAGAAATTCTCATTCTGGATATTGATGATCTGTTAAATTTTTCATTACTTCATTAGGTTTTGTCATCAATTTCTTCTCCTGATTTTTTAAAAAATTTAAATCAATACATCTTCAGTGATGTAATGCCTCATTGGACATGCATTCTGGTAGCTGTTTGCATGTTAAAGGCATGCACTTTTCAGCATGTTAGACAGGAGTTGGCCTCATGCTAATTTAGTGTGCTGTAACTCAATGAAGGAACAAAAACACAGAGGCTGCAAATCCTGTCTTGTGTTTTTGCTAGTTGTAACAGGACAAATAGTGAATGGTGATAATAATTCAGAGCCCTCATGCATCATTTCATATGTCCAAAGCATTGTACAAATATAACATCACCCAAATATTAACACCCTCTTTAAGGTAAATATTGCCCTTATTTTGCAGACTGGGAAGCAGAGATGCTAAATGACTTGCCCAGGGCAAAGCAGCAAGGGCCCAGTCTGAAATCCACTGAAATCAATGAAAGTATCTCCACTTGGGAGTATGTCATTGACTTCAATGGGTGCTGGATCAGGCCCCAGTCAGTGGCAGTCAGAGATGTGATTAAAATTCAAGACTTGCAACCTGGTACTAATTCCTCCAGACTGTGTCTGAGTTAATTAAAACACATATACATGGAAGTAATTATAGTAAAAATGAGGAACGAGAAATATCTATGTGACACAGTGGCAGAGATTAATTCCCATGTCATTTAGTCCGTTATAATGGAAAGAGTGCTCACTGGCACAATAAATAAATGAATGAATAAAAACGAAATCTGCATATAAATTTCTCCATCATCTGGCAAGTAAACTTAGAGAAGAGCAACCAAGTGATTGGTTGTCCAGGATTTGAACTTCACATGAGAAATCTTATTCTCAGATGACTTTAATTGTCTGTCAGAACTTACTTTCTCTGCAGTTTGCAAAAAAGGTTACATAGAACCAGGAGTTGGCAATGAGAATTGAAAATGTAAATAAGAAGATGCTCACGTGTTGCAATTTTTTAAGTCTCTGCTAGACTAACAATGCTCCTTGTTGTAGGCTGAGTACTTGCTGACACCATTATTTTGCTATTATGATATAATTGAATAAAGCACTTAAATACAACACTCAATACATCCCTTTTTATATTTCACTCTACTTGGTACTAATTCCAGCAGGTTATTGAGACACTCAAAACGTGTCCAAATCTTTTTTTTTAGGTAGATATAAAAGTATTTGTTGAACAGGCTATTTAAAGGGGCATACTATTTTTTCACAGGTTTAATTCCAAAAGAGCAGTTACAAAATGCCTCCTCCCAGTGCTAATTGGCTTTACAAATAATGTAGTCTGCTTTTTGTTGGGCCAGATGATGGAAAGTTCGCAACAGGCCATGACATTAATAAGGTAAAACTCATGGGGTAGCAACAGAGGGTTTAGGAACCTGAGGTTTATCTCTTGGAGTTCAAGGGCTTCCACAGGCTCTCATGGAGGGAGGAGGCTGCTGAGGCTCTCTTCTGCATCTGTGTCTAGGTTTGCTTCCTTCCCTTTTGTCTGCATAGG